GTAGAAACAAACTACTCCTGCAGAGGGTTTCAACTTTGTCTTTTTCTTTTCTGATAATCAGAGCAAACGTAATGAGGTTTTAAATATCTCCCTGAGATTGCAGGCCGGGAACAACAGCCAACAACAGTAACGAGAGTCAGCAAGTCCTGAGAGGTGATGGAAAAGCGAATACGACTGACTACGATCGGGACGTCTCGCGCCTGCAGAACGACCATCTGGTCCATCTCTGCTGGACAAATCCAGGCATGTGTTGCTTGTACTTTGCGGCGATTTGAGTGCTGCTGTTACAGAGCACTTTGTTATTTCTATCTTTGCAGTTGTGACTTCTTTTGCTGCGGTTGCATTAATCTGGTATTTGCCATAAACACAAACAAATATCTTTCAAACGATAATGCACACTGCTATCCATCTAGCTCCACCCGGATGTGTCAAAACTTTCTTTAGAAAACAAACAAGTTCTGAACCACTGAAAAAGAAGCTCCTAAAGCTGTGAACGTGTCAGGAAACCTGGAGGAGGTGACACAGCAGAGAGCAGTGAGATTTTACACAAAAACAAAGATTTACTTTGATGATGATTGATTTTTTTATTGATTAGCATTCAAATATCTCAGTGAAGACAGAACAAAGATCTACCACAAAGCAAGAAAGCATGAGACAAGGCTAATCAAAAGGTATTGGCTGAAGCATTTGCTTATTACGCCAACCCTTTTAACAAAAGATCTTTTAGCATGCAGCTCCTGCTGCATGCTAAAATGCAGCTACTTTATTTTTATGACTAATCACTTGGGAATTTTATCTGAGCAATTAAAGATTAGCATGTGGTCAGTGAAACCTGCTGTTGATCGGAGCTGAAGTCTCAAATGAACACAAGACGCCAACATTTGTTCATGTAATTTCACCCATGCAGCAGTGAGTCCGAACTTTCTCTCCTCTGCTCTCGGTTACACTCTCAAGGAGAAACTGATCAAACGATGACAATGACTCTCAAGTGTTGATTAACTAATTTTGAGAGCGGTCCCTCGCTGCCTGGCCATCTAGTTTAAACTCATTAACATGTGTTAGGAAGCTTTTGATAAACAGAACATGCTAATAAGCATATTTAAAGCTGAACTACTCAGGGAAATACTTGCATTAATTTATCTCCCCTGCTCTCAGTTACATTATTCATCATGTAAAGCTGAGGAGAAAATGGTCAAACAAAGACACCACTCAAGAGTCAGTTGAGCTGCTTCTGGGAGGGTCACGGTCTGCCCGTCTTTAGTTTAAACTCATTAACACTTGTTTGGAAGCTTGTGATGAACTTACAAATAAGCTAATGATCAACTCTAGTAAAAGACGATATCAGGATTTCTTATGTACTTATTTTATTTTATCACCGTGTGTATCTTTCCCCATTAACAGCTGCTCTGCTCTCAGGTGGAGTTTTGTTGTTATTCAAGAACCAGAGACAAAACCACGCAAGTTTCTGAACTTTGACTGGTTCTGGAAGGAAATTGTAAAATATGAGCTTTTCTTCCTCTTTGGCTTTTGACAGCACTTATTGGCACCAGTTGAAGCTAACTGATTACATTACCATAAGTTCAATACAAGGTGAGAGGGTGACTTTCTCTGAGATTTGTTTTTGAAAAGACATCGTTCATCGAACGATCTGCCTGAGGACTCTGTCTCACCTGTGTGTCTGAGCCTTACAGGAGGTGGATAACTCTGTGACCCCCCTCTCAGCTCACAACTCTTCTGCCCGAAACTCATGCATCTTTTAGAATTAGGGCCGAGGCCACTTTAGGTGCAAAGTAGCATCTACTTTGCACCTAAAGTGGCCTCGGAGGAGCATCTCCTTCCTAAATGCTAAAGTTTGCTTTCACCAATTGAAATAACTGAACTGTCACCATATTTGTGTTGCTGGTGCCTTTGAGAGCATTTTTAATGAAACTAACTGATAAAAAATCTCATCTGCGGTGTGGTTAACTGTGCTAACATAACATCAAAGACATCTGTGCTTCACTTTAGGCGAATGGAGTTTTATTATGTTATTAGTCAGTTACATAACACTAATTAGCAGGAATCTATGTCCTTTAATTGCAGCTTGCAAGTTCAAGTCAGCTGATAACTTAGCACTTTACCCTCTCATCTAAATGTTTCACTCATGGCTCCAAAAACCATCATGACACTAACCAAAGCGCTTCAAATAAGTAATAACAGTGTCTACGTACATGTTGACACAAACATGGTTTTGGGAACTAACGGGACCAGACTAAAAGAAACAGGAACCAGTGGCCCGTACATACATGGCAGGAGATGAGGTTAATGTGTTGCACCATGAATGCAGTATGTTCCACTTTACAAAGGCTCAGTGACTAACATCTGAAATCACCGCTCACCAACAGCTGAACTATGTGTTAGGTAGATGGAGCGAATGACTCAGCAAAGCGGTCCTGATATTACTTTACGGTCTTCTTGTTTTAAACTGCTTGCGTACAGATTTGGCAGCGCTGAGTGGACGGCACTTCACCGTGATGACAGAAACGTGTCGTTGTCTTTTTAGTTTAACTAACAGTCAAAGCAGGATCAGGGGCGACACAGTTATTATAACAATACCTCACTCATGATACGATATTATTGCAATTTTTAACATTTTGCAACACGGTGAGTTTTTAAATAACAATGCTGCAATTTCCCACCCTTTTTCAAACAACGCCCTCAAAGTTCAGTTTTGTTCATATCTGTTTTATCCTGATTAAGTTATTATTATACTGTAAAATAAGACTGAAGCATAACCAAAGCCGTCATTAAAAACTTGCCATAAATGATACGATCTGTAATTGAATGGGGTCAAATTGGCAATTACATGCAGCGTGTTTCTGCATGTAATTGCCAATTTGATATGAGACACACAGAGAGACATCCTGATGGGTTAAATATCGTCTTGTGCTTTGATAAACATCCAGAATCCAGCTTTGTGCGTTAAACGTGATAACACTGTTACATATACAGCAACAACAACAAAACTGTGTTTTTTCATAGCAACAACAGCATGTACGTCCTCAGATAACCTCTCTCACACACACACACACACACACACACACACAAGGCTCAGCTGCTTCCTGTTGAGGACTGACTGTAAACAAAGTGACTGTCAGCTACACGAGTGTACGGTTATAGCCGTCTTTCTGAGGACCAGGAGGGAATTTACACCTTGGAGGGACATCTCTCCAAACTAGGACCACACCATTTGTAACGTGCCCCCGACTGGTGTCTACAATCTGCATTCTGAAGCCTCGACATTGATGGGCTTTTTAACCAGAAGTGACCATATTTACACTGGAGGGTGGAACTTAGCACGCTAATGCTACTAAGCTAACTGGGTGTCAGCATTTGACCCAGATTTGTTCTACACATGTGCAAAAAAAATACACATGCTTCCTTTGAATGGAAGCTATGGTTAAGAGTAAATGGTAAATGGACTACTCTACCACAAAGCATCATTCACCCAGTCATACACACAATCATACAAGCACTTTTCTACGCCTCATAAATGAGGAAGCGGATTTATTTAAACGCACATTACGACGCATGCATCAAGGTATCTTGCTCAAAGACACTTGACATGCAGACTGGAGGATCTGAGGAATGAACCCCTGACTTTCTTAATAGTGGATGACCTGCTTTAAATGCTGAGTCACAGATACATGGCCACACATGACTGTCAGGCACAGGGAACTGTAGCCAGTGGCTATCTGAACTGGACGTGTTTGTACTTTTGGAGCTGTTTTAAATGAAGTTATCAAACAAATATTATGACTTACTGTAAGGAGGTCTGTGCTGATGGCTGACAACTTGATGACTACAGTAGCTGATAAATTAGTATTCCACCCTACAATCCAAATCCAACTTATGGCTCCAAAACACCAGCATGCTAATGTTAAGGGGTTAAGTGGGTGACGTCACGGTGGCCATGTCCATCTTTATCAGACAGCTTTCTAAAGTAATATTATTTGTCCGATAATTTCCGTAAATATGCTTCATGAGGTGCTAACAGCACAAACGCATAAAAAAAAATGTTAAGTTCATTAAGTTCAGTTAGTGGATGTGAAGCCTAGCAGACAGCTGACCCAAACCTTCGAGCCTTAACAAAATGATTGTGGGGGGAAGTTCTGTATAAAAATTATTGTTGCCATGGAGAAAGAAATTATACATAGAAGCCAAAACTTTGTTTTGTATGAGGTTGTAAACATGTTTATTTCTTCTGTAAAGTTAGACATATTAATATGGAAGTCTATGGGGACTGATTGAACTTCCTCTAGTGGTCATTAGAGGAACTGCAGTTTTTGCAGTCTGATTGGGCCATTCAGAAATGACAAACAGTTTTACATGTGTGAACGTCTGAACCTCTCTGTGGAATGGACCTGTAAAGGGCCGTGTGACAGACTCACGTCACAGGGACACACAGTATAAATGAGGTCCTCAAAGGTGTGAATGAGTGTGTGACACTTACCAAACGCTGTAGGTGACATCTCCTGCATGATGGCTCTGTACTCCAAATGGTGACGACTCTGATTACTGGGACCTGCACAGGCCGAGATACATACAGGCACGTCAGGAAAAAAACACTAGCTCACACCGTGTGGACAAAATTAAGTCCTCATAAAGCAGATTGGTACGTTTTAGTGTGCAGACTTAAGGTACATATGTGTGTGTTTTACCTGGGGCGCAGGGGGAGGGGGGTTTGCTCAGGATGAGGGCAGCTCCTGCAGGGGAAGGGGGCTTGTTGTTGGTTGATGAGGGAGTTGTGAGGTCAGAGTGGGAGGGGTCTGAGTCACGTTGCCGTGGTGACCGAGCGCTCCAGTCGTCTAGCCCGCTGGAAGCTGCCGCTGTTGCCGAGCTGCAGGTGGCACTGGCCTTACGAGGCTGAAAAAAGAGAAGAAGTTCTAGTTTTTGTTACACCAGCAAAGTTTCATCCACTTAAACTGAATTTAAGACATTTTTCATTATTTTTCATGCCTTTATTTGACAGGACGGTTTAAAGCAGACAGAACTGATGCCTTTTAAGTCACTGGGTCAGTAGGTCCAACTATAAATGGCTATTTCTTCTGTTTTACAGGCCCACAAATAACCAGC